GACATCATGCTGACGTCATAAATACATTTTTTCGAATTAATTAAATAAATAAATAAATTCCAAAATTGTTAAAATCTTTTAAAAATCATATCTTTTAATCCGTAACTCGGATTAAAATATTTTCAACATGAAAGTTGCTCAGAACGACGAGACGCTTTCGGGTGCGCAGTCCGTTCGTCCGCCACACACCCCTAACCTATCGAACTCGCAACTTTTCCCCTCCGGTTCATCTGTCCGAAAACACGAAATACCGGGAATACTTTCCCGGATGATTCCCCCCTTAACCAGTAACACCTCATACCACATTAGGGCACGCCTAGCATCGCTTCTTGACATGTCATGCATCGATATGCATCTGTTTACTTGGTATTCATTGTTTCTTCCCCCTCTTCTCTCCGGTAGACTACGAGACCGACGCTGCTGCTGCCCAGTTCGACTACGGAGTTGACGACCCCTCTCTCTTGCCAGAGCAACCAGGCAAGCCCCCCCCCCTTGATCACCAGATATCGCCTATTCTACTCTATACTGCTTGCATTAGAGTAGTGTAGCATGTTACCGCTTTCCGTTAATCCTATTCTGATGCATAGCCTGTCATTGTTGCTACAGTCGTTGATACCCTACCTGCAATCCTAAATGCTTAGTATAGGATGCTAGTTTATCATCATTGGCCCTACGTTCTTGTTAGTCTGCCTTGCTATACTATTGGGCCGTGATCACTCGGGAGGTGATCACGGGTATATACTATACATACATACATACTATACAGATGGTGACTAAAGTCGGGTCAGCTCGAAGAGTACCCGCGAGTGATTCACGGATTGGGGGCTGAAAGGACCTTTGTCCCGACGGCCCTCTGTGTGGATCTTTGTGGCGGAGCGACAGGGCAGGTTGAGACCGCCTAGGAGAGAGGTGGGCCTGGCCCTGTTCGGCGTTCGCGGACACTTAACACGCTTAACGAGATCTTGGTATTTGATCTGAGTTGGCTACGAGCCTATACGCACTAACCATCTACGTGGGAGTAGTTATGGGTATCCCGACGTCGTGGTATCAGCCGAAGCACTTCAGACGTCAGCGACGGAGCGGCGCGCGCCGAATTGGACTGGAACGCCACTAGGCTAGGTCTGCTTTCGGCCGCCCTCGCAACGTGCAGGTGTGCTATGGGCGATGGGCCCAGACCCCTGTGCGCTTAGGTTTAGACCGGCGTGCTGGCCTCTCTGTTGAGCCTAGGTGGGGCTGCGACGTGTTGATCTTCCGAGGCCGGGCATGACCCAGGAAAGTGTGTCCGGCCAAATGGGATCAAGCGTGTTGGGTTATGTGGTGCACCCCTGCAGGGAAGTTAATCTATTCGAATAGCCGTGATCTTCGGTAACAGGACGACTTGGAGTTGTACCTTGACCTTATGACAACTAGAACCGGATACTTAATAAAACACACCCTTCCAAGTGCCAGATACAACCGGTGGTCGCTCTCCCTCAGGGATACGAGGGGAGGATCGCCGGGTAGGATATGCTATGCGATGCTACTTGGAGGACTTCGACCTACCCTCTTCTGCCTGTTGCAAGACGAAGGTGACCAGAAGCGTAGTCTTCGATAGGACTAGCTATCCCCCTCTTATTCTGGCATTCTGCAGTTCAGTCCACTGATATGGCCCTTTACACATATACCCATGCATATGTAGTATAGCTCCTTGCTTGCGAGTACTTTGGATGAGTACTCACGGTTGCTTTCTCCCCCCCTTTTTTTCCCCTTTCCTTTCTTTCTGGTTGTCGCAACCAGATGCTGGAGCCCTGGAGCCAGACGCCACCGTCGACGACGACCCCTACCACACTGGAGGTGCCTACTACTACGTGCAGCCCGCTGACGACGACCAGGAGTAGTTTAGGAGGATCCCAGGCAGGAGGCATGCGCCTCTTTCGATCTGTATCCCAGTTTGTGCTAGCCTTCTTAAGGCAAACTTGTTTAACTTATGACTGTACTCAGATATTGTTGCTTCCGCTGACTCGTCTATGATCGAGCACTTGTATTCGAGCCCTCGAGGCCCCTGGCTTGTATTATGATGCTTGTATGACTTATTTTATTTGTAGAGTTGTGTTGTGATATCTTCCCGTGAGTCCCTGATCTTGATCGTACACATTTGCGTGCATGATTAGTGTACGATTGAATCGGGGGCGTCACAATTCCTCCATAGAAATCACCATCCAAAGCATTTCTACTCAAACACCGTGTAAATATTGCCCCAAATTAAAAAAATTATCAACAAGCACGGTGCATTTAAGGATGCTTAAATCAGGAGCATAAGTGGTACCGAGGTCATGTTTACCGGTTAAACATCTTTCTATGAATAATACAAAGTAATGAATAGCAGGAAAATGTATGCTTTCAACCCTACCCCGAGTTACTCCTCTAGTTTCTCCATGACAAATGCTCCTAATAAATTCTTCATAATTAGCCTTACGGGACTCCTCACATGTACCCCGGAAGGGATTTTGAAGCAAACATCACGAAGAGTCATACTAAATGGTCTATCACAAAGGTTGAAAACAACACAAGATACGATACGATGAGGCACATACTTGAAATGTCGCACAAAAATAGTGAGATGATGGTATTGGGCACACTTATCTGCGAGAAAATCGGTTAACCGGACATTTTCAATGAATATGTCGAACTCTTCCTTGATGCCGCCATCAACCATGACAGTCTCACATGGCCATTGACAAGCTTTCACATTGGCTGCCCGCAGAGAGCCTTCCCCGGGCTCATGGTATGCGGGTCTTGCCGCGCTCTGGCTTGAAGAGCCTCCCGAAAACACCTTCCTAAGCATCTTTCTTTTTCTGAATTTTTTTAGACAACTAATAGAAAGTGGACAAAACTTAACAAAATCGATAACAACTATTCCCATAAGTATCTAGAGGTTATATCATGCATTGAAACTACATATGACCAAGCTTTTAAATCTAGATCGATATGACCGATTTATAGGCCGATATATCAGTTTTGTGGCTCTACGGATATAAATATAACGTATCATTTTGTAAATATTATTTTCACACATATCATCCGAGATGACCAATATCTGACCCGATGTGCCTGCTGATATAGACCAGTATGAACACAATTATTTATTAGGAAGAAGTGGTAAAAATATTACATATTTACAACTTCATCGTATTATTAAAGTCATGGATAATGTTTCGTAGAACACATATATAACGTATTGCTCTTAATCTTAGAGTGATGATTTTGTGAATCTATCTTAAGTAGTTTATTAATTAATAAATTCATAAACTAGGAATTTAAATTTGTTACACTAGAATGTTGATACCATACATTTTGTTTCTACTAAAAAGACATTTGTGAACAAGAATATTGGGAAAAAATGTAATTATATTCCCTTCGATATATTTACATATTGTCCGGTATATCATCCGATATCTGACATTCAATATGTTCAAGCCAAACCGATACGAACCCGATATACGATATTTTTTTTGAACGGTGGTGTGCATGTGGGTGAGGGCGGGGTGTTGATGCTAGATTGCGTCATCCCACGTTGGCTGATTTTCGTCTCCAGCTATCTTCGTGTTGATTTAGTTTTCACTGCCGCATGCGTCATGCCTTCATTCTGTGTTTGACCCGGTCTGACCCGTTGAAAACGGCCGATTCATATGTTGTTTTTAGCGAGCCACGCCCTGAGTGCTTTAAGGTTGCGTGTCTCCGTGTAATACCAAACACGTTTTTCTTACACTCAAAGATATGGGTGCTTGCCACCAGAGAATAAACATATATCTATATATATGCCTAATAATAAATGAGTTATTGCTTCTGGCGGTATGTAAATGAAATTGCTCTCAAAGTTACAAAATATTACCCACTGATGACATCTATAATCTATAAGTAATAAAAAAACGTTTCACACAGAGTAATTCCCGTCTGGGCCTGCCCATGAAGGAACCTTCTATACTACGCTCTGCACGCTGGGAAAAGACACAACGCGTTTGTTTGGGCCGGCCTGTGTCCGGACGGTCTATTTTTAAATTTCGTTTTCCTTTTCAGTCTTCGTTATTTTATTTAAATAATATGGAGCTTCAAAAAAGTTCCGTTTTTTTAAACGAGAATTTTCGAATAAAATTTTAATAATTCATATTTTTTTGTGTATTTAGAAAATGTTCACGATTTTTCAAAAATGGTCGCATATTCAAAAAATGTTCTCAATTTTAATTTTTTTTTGTGAAATCAATAAATGTTCCAGATTTTTTAAAAAGTTCGTGTATTAAAAGATATCCATGGATTGCAAAATATCCTAAAAATTCAAAAACTGTTCGTGACTTACAAAATAGTTTATTGATTCATAAAATGTTCGCTGATTCAAAAAATGATCATGCATTTCAAAAAATATTTGTTAAATTTAAAAATATTCATGCATTTCAAATATTGTTGCACAAATTTCTTTTAAAAAAATGTTCGTTGATTCTTGAAATATTCCCCTATTCAAGAAAAATGATTTAAAAATGTTCACAATTTTAATAAAATGTTTGCAAATATTATAAATTTTTATTAATTCAAAATATTCATGATTTTAGAAAAAAAGAAAATCTGTAAAAATATTCGTGTATTTGAAAATTGTTCACGATTTCAGATATGTTCAAGAGTATAAAAAAATGTTCATGATTTTTTTCTTAACAAAAATGATAGTGATATTGTATCTCGGTGATGCAACAAACTGTGGTCAGGGCCATTGAAGATTATGATTTTTCTTTATTCCATTTGCGTTTTGCTAGTATTATTTCAGCTCTAAAATAAATAAATATTTATACGTTGATCTTTTTTTTTAAGAAATTTATACGTTGATAATATCCTTGGTTGTCATCACGACGAAACGGGCGCAACCCAAACTCGCCGCCTTTGCGACCCGCCGCCCCCGAAACGACCGACCCGCTCCTCGCTCCTCTCCGGCGTGTCCAACCTACTGCTCCGGCTAGCTTTCCGGCGGCGGCGCGATGGGTGAGCGGAAGGTGCTGAACAAGTACTACCCGCCGGACTTCGACCCGGCGAAGATCCCGCGGCGGAAGCAGCCTAAGAACCAGCAGATCAAGGTGCGCATGATGCATCCCATGAGCATCCGGTGTGGCACCTGCGGCACCTACATCTACAAGGGCACCAAATTCAACTCGCGCAAGGAGGACTGCATCGGCGAGGTACGCACGCGCCCCCGCCCGTCCGTTTGTCGTGATACCTAGGCTTAGTTATTTAACCCTAGCGTCGTGGTGGGCTCGAATTGCACAAATTGAGTCGATTGACGCTCCAATTTGTGAACGGTACTATCAATTTTAACGTACTGTTTGCCCGTTGATGCTTGTTCCAGTCTGTGCAGAACCAAACAGCTATAATTCAGTGATCCGAGTTGTAGAGCTATTGCTAGTGAAACAAACTACTCAAATCAAATTGTCTGCCTTCATTTTTAATAATCTTCATCGGCATGCAGCACAAAGTTCATGGGCACATTCAAAGTTAATAACTCACATTTCATCTTGAAGTGCCCTGCACTATATTATTGCTGTAATGCAGTTTAACTGTTATTCCAAGAGTGTCGAGTCGAATTTACAACCATTACTGGAATCTGGGTTTCATCACTATAGGGGGATCATTATCTTCTATGATGTTATCCATGGCATGGAATTCTTGAATTCTATATCCATATTGACGATGCATATTTTCTTTATTGATATTGATACAATTGAAATCCATGCTAATGTGATTATTTTTCTTCTATGTGCAGACATACTTGGGCATACAAATTTTTAGATTTTACTTCAAGTGTACTAGGTGCTCAGCTGAGATTACCTTCAAAACAGACCCCCAGAATTCAGACTACACGGTGGAATCTGGGGCTAGTCGTAATTTTGAACCTTGGCGTGAAGAGGATGAGGTGAGTGATATATGGAAAATTCTGAGCACAGCTTTTATCTTTCGACCAGCTTGAGCTTCAATTAAATCATGGGGATTTATTTCCATTGTTCAGGTTGTGGATAAAGAGAAGAGGAAGCGAGAAGCAGAGGAGATGGGCGATGCAATGAGAGCACTGGAGAACAGAGCAATGGATTCAAAGCAGGACATGGACATACTTGCCGCTTTAGAAGAGATGCGATCGATGAAGGTATGATCTGGTCATCTTGCCAACCTCTTAAGTTCAGTTAACCTGTACTTGTACATGCACATGAAATCTTGACTTTACTAACTACTGACATCGTTTTATTGTGCTGTTTACAGTCTAGACATGCTGGAGTCTCCGTTGACCAGATGCTTGAAATTTTGAAGCATTCCGCTCATCAAAAGGCAAGATCTCACAAGCTTTGTTTTCTGTATAATTGATAAAAGTTTCACGTTTGGGTAATATGTAGGTTATTTTGCTTATGGCATGGTGGTCCTGTGGTATCATTTTATTAAAATATTTTCTCTAATAATGGCCATTTTGTGTGTGGTTACAGGAGGAAAAAACAGTAGCAGAACTAGATGAAGAAGACGAAGAACTCATCAAATCAATCACTTTCAGAGTAATCCTCTATGTCAACATTCATATGTACCTGCATGTGCAAACTTGTATTTGAATTTTTTTTTTCTAACCCTGTCATACTGTTGGTTATTGCATAACTCGAAAGATTATGTTAAACGGATCGAAGACGATGACGATGACGACGATGATGACAATTTTGGTATACCAGGACAGTCAAGTGTCACGTCAAAGGTACTTGTCTCACTGTATTGTGTTTTCTTCCTTTTCTTTTCTGTTTCTATTTCATATTGCATGTTCTGTGGTCTTAAGTATCGATTGTTGAAAGATCACTGTAGACCATTAGCTTGAGTTTAATTTGTTATTTCGAAACTAGCTGACCTGATAAAGCAGCCATCAGTTACAACATCAAAACATGTCACTTATCATTTTTGCGTACTTACTCTATTTGAAGGATTTTGACATTCCTCTTCTTGATATGAAAACTGTAAATATGCAGCTTTTATATAGATTTGTTCAAAGTGTAAGCTAGCTAATGACTGAACTTGAAATTGCCAAAATTATCGTCTTCTGTGAAGTGTTTGTTGTAGTTTCTCTAGGACGCTTTCAGTTTTGCATTAGATATAGCAACAGTTGAGATTAACGGAGGAAGACATTTTGAACTCAAATCCTCTTACAAGAGTAAATGCTGGTCATTGAGCAATGTGTAGTATAGAACTTATATCAAACATTGTCATAAATCTAATGGTGTTATGGTCTTATGGTCTTATGGAGTAGCCCTCATTGAGTCATTGTAGCAATTTCTATGGAAGATATTATGCAGTTTTTCTATGCAGAGGATATTGCTTACTTCTCCCCGTGCCATGAGTATGCTCATGTATTTGCAGTTTTCAGTTCGACGTCTCTTGAACTTGTTTGTTTAGTGAACTGACAGTTCCTACTTTTTATGCAGATTAATGGATCATCTGAATCAATGACGAATCCTACAGATGTCTTGACCAAAGCTAATGGACCTGAGAGTGCCAATAAAGAAGGTAGACACTCATATGCACTCACCTTGTTTTTTCACTGTATCACTAATATTGTTAAGGGCACATGCAGAATCCGAGAATTCCATATTTTAGAACTTGCTATTTCAATGTTTATGCGCTGACCTTGATCCTGTTTCACATATCACGCAGCCTATTTTGGCCATCACTATATTTTATCATGGATTACCAACGTCAACCTTGTTTTATGTCGCTATTTGCCTCTATTTTTACTTGTGTTATTTTCTTTTTATGTGATCAAACAGTGTTCCGTTTTGAAAACAAATGTGTTGCTTACATTTAAACATTGCTCTACAGGAAACAAGAGCTTGGCATCTAGGATGCCCAAATTCATAGTGAAACCAAAGGCCACTGGTGCAAATCCTCAGAAGAAACAGAAGACAGAAACCCACGCCGTCCAAGATAACGGCAAAGCACCGGCTGCTGAGAATAAAAATGAAGCTTCAGTAGAGAAGACCAATGTTCTTCAGTCCCTCTGCCAGTATGATGATAGCGATGAAAGTAATGACTGAAGACAAGACAACCCCCTGGAACACGGATGTGTTAGTTTTTTTTTTCG